TCGAGAAAAAACAAAAGAACATACGAGCGCTTGACATAAAAAGTCCTCGTGTGACGAACATAAAATACACGAAAAAAAGACGAGCATCTCGTCTCGATAGATAGATGCAGACACCATAACCTTTTATACTGGCATCGTAGAATCCATGTATTTGTATGTCAGACGCATGTGTTTCAAAGCTTAGCTTGTTTATCAAAACCATTTTGGACTGAAAATCTGTCCAAGTTGTGTTAATGTGACTTGGAACCGAAGCATCCCAATATAATTTCAGTTCCCAGAGTTTTTGCATGATTATTTTTGCGAATAATGTTATTGGGCCTTGCCATCCTGAGGGATCAAAAGTTTTTGCAATTATGGAGAGTATTGATCTTTTAGTGATAGGATTAGAAGGGACAGGTAGTACGGAGTATATTATTTGATCATTTGTTGAGCACCAAGAAATCCCTAACGTTTTCAGAGTGTTGTCATCTGTGAATTGTAGATGTTAATTGATGTCAGTAGCTGGAATTCCGTATAGAAGTCTTCTGTCGTTTGATGCTCATTGTCTTATTTTTTATCTACCAAGATTCAATAATTTGATTATATTATTATGAAGATCAATTCCTTCTTCAATTGTTTCCGTGCCTGTGATAAGATCATCAACATATAGATCATCCTTCAAGATATCTGCTGTTATTGAATATTTATCTTTTTCGACGATTAATAATTGTTGGAGTACGCGTATCACGTGGTAGGGGGAAGAACTTATTCCAAAGGTGACAGTGTTTAATTCAAAGGTTTCAACGTTTGTTCCATCGTTCGTTGAAAATTCGTTGAAATTTTCTATCTGCTTCTCTAATTTCGAATTGGCGATACATTTTTTCGATGTCCCTTATTAATACAAAACGATGTAATCTAAATCGAATTAAATGAAAGAAGATGTCATTTTGAATCGTAGGTCCTACCATCAGTTATCATTTAGGGAAAGACCAGAATCTGATTTTGCAGAGCCGTCAAAGACTTAAATTAAAATTAAATATTCTTCGTAAATGTTATTATATTGTTTTTCTAATTCAGGTTGATGTTGGAATCTGCGCTGTTGATTATTTAGACGTTTTAAAGCTCTAAAGCAGGATTCTCCTAACAGTTCGATATTATCGCGGAAAGGTAAAGCTAAACTGAATTGATCTAATTGTTTGCGCGTTGTGTGTTTGCGAAACTGTTCTTCACATGCGATTGCTTCAGCGGGTAAATGAATTTGTCTAAGGTATTCCTCTAATTCCCAAAATTTACTCAAATCAACTTGTATATTAGAGAGATGATAATTTACAATATTTGAATTTTTTATGGTTGACGACATGACGTTTCCACCTATGACTAATGACGGTCCAGATCCTAAAAGTATGTCGATCGTTGCTGGTTCGTAAAATTTTGAATCTACTAGTCGTATATTGGATGGTATATCTAACATGTCGCGTGGAAAAATTTTATTTGGTATCAAATCGTCTATTCGAGGAACTAGAAGAAAACTGAGTGTTCCTTCATACTCAGAATATATGGAACCAATTGTAATTTTTATAATAACCTTGGCTATCGTGGTTAAATCATTTAATGCGTCCCACATAGCACGACTTCTTGCTGTGAGGTTACTTTAAGGATATCTGTAGGGTTTGTAAGGTTACTGTGTAAGCCTACAGTAAACTTGAGGTCATCTTAAAATGTCGGACATTACAGTAAGCTTACACAGTAAGCCTAAGTTAAGCTTACACAGTAAGGTTGTAGTAAGTTTACATGGTAAGGTTGTTGTAAGCTTCCCGTAAGGTTACTGTAAGGTTGCTGTTAGGTTACTGTAAACATAAAATGTTATAAATAAATAAATTTTATTAATATTTATGCGCAGTAGTTTTCTATGGCACAAACGACTGCGCAGTAAATGTTATTTAACGAACCCTATTGGGGTTCATGAAGTACTTTACCAAATACATAATTTCTTATAAAAAAATTTTAATAAAATATATATTATAATATAATTATTTTTAAAATATTTTCATATTACTCTATGTTTACAGTAACTTCACAGCAACCTTAGAGTAACCTTACGGGAAGCTTACAAAAACCTCACCGTGTAAGCTTATCCCAACCTTATCATATAAACTTACCACGACTTACCACGACTTACCTAACTGTGTAAGCTTACCTTAGCTTTACTGTGTAAGCTTACTGTAATGGCGGAAGTTTTAAGATGACCTGAAGTTTATTGTTTATTTGTTTATTGGAACTGAATATTTTTTTCTGGGTAATTGTAAAGTTCGAAGTAAATTTTTAGTAACAAAGTTTGCAGATGAACACGTGTCTAATAGTGCTCGGCAGCGTAAAGGCCGATGATCTTTATCGAATGATTGAATTATTGCACTTGTTACTAATTGACCGTTTGGAACATCTGCCGTAAAAGAAATGCATTGTTGTTTCTTTTTGAAAATATTTCATTGTCATTGTTTGGAAGGAGACAGTGTTGCTTGTCTTGGTGTAAAAGAGTGTTATGTTTTCGGTTACACACCATGCAATTGCCGAATTTGCGCTCTGCTATATCGTGATTCCCGGCATACAGTTAATACAAAGAGGAGCGTCTTTTACAGTTTGTATTCTTTGAGATATTGGAAATGAACGAAATTTTTCGCATCGAAAAATCGGATGTGATTTAAGTCTACATGCTGGGCAAGGTTTTGTTATCGTGTTAGTGAGAAATACTGTTTTTGCGTTTTTTGATTTCCTGAATTAGAAGATGTATTGGAGGAATTTTTTGATGAATTCTGTCTCTCTCGTTCAGATAATCGTGTAGCCGTTCTATACAAAAATTCAAACATATTGTCAAGTTTGGGAAATTCGTTTCGCTTTAAAGTCTCATCCCATTTTTTTAATGCTTGTTTATGAAGTTTTTCTTATATATTTTGAACGAGAATTTCTTCGGAAATTTTAATACCGAGTGAAGCTAATGAAAGCATGTCTTGTTATGTATGATATTTCAAAACTTAGTATCTCACTTACACAATAAAAGGAAAACAGAACAAACAAAACTTGTATTTGTTAATTATTTGAATATTATTTGATAAATTTATGTTGTTTCAAAAAAGGTTTCCTATACAAATTCGCGCGCACCTTGTCGAAAACCAAGGACGAAAAACAAAACAAATATTTTCAATAATACTGAATATATTATTTGAAACGAATGTTATTTAATTAAAGTAAAAAATGGGATTGTTCTACAATCCAAAAAGCCAGTGTTACAAAGTCTTCATACATATGCGGAATATGTTGCGTTATCGGCAGCTGTTAATAAAATAAAACTTGTAAAAGATTTGATCAAATTTTTCGACATAAAACTTAAGCGTCCTATTGTAATTCATGAAGATAACACGGGAGCGTTAAATATAGCAAGGTACGGTAATTTTACAAAGAACTCGAAGTATATAGAAGTGCATTATCATTTGTGAATGAATGTTATACAGAATGTTTAATTGATATTGTTAAAGTAGATTTAAATGAACATATTGCAGATATTTTTACCAAGTCGCTTTACAAAGACAAGTTTGTTAAATTCAGGGAAATGCTGAATACAATTCAGGTATTATCAATGTAAACGTATTGTGTACATTTATATCAAGTATCGCCCTGTGTTATCAGAACAGTTAACTAATGTGTGAACGTTAAGTTTCGTATGTCAGGTATACGTATAGAGTCTCTTGTAGAAACAGCACGGAGGAATAGTAAGAAACAGCAAGTATTAAGTCTTGTATGTACCTCTTTCATGTTCGTTTAAAGACAGCAAACATGTTTGTTTTTATTTTTTTTATAAAAAACTAATTATAATCTCCAAGGTAAGTAAGTATAAAAAGAAATTTCCAACCAAAAAAAATTTGTTTATTATAAAAGTTTTGAGTAAACTTGCCACACAAGCTTGCAGAAAATTTTCACTAAATATACAGGTTGACAATCTGTAAACAAGAAACTTCGGACCTTCAAATTCTGGACTCTACAAGTCTCTTTTTCTTTCGACAGCGCTTGCGTACATTTGTTCATTTTCTTAATTTTATTCTTGATTCCTCGTAAAAGTATGAAAGAATGCAAAAGAGATATATAAACTATCGGTCACGAAGTATAAATGTTTGGTCTAGTAGAATCAGGAATGTGGGTCCTACAAAATCTGTGTTTAGGTGTAGACGGGTGTAGATGGTGCCTTGAGCGTTGCTTCGTCTAATGTTATGATTTCCATAACTATGATGTGTAAGACAAGAAACAAAATAAAAATTACTTCGCTGTTGTTATGTTACGAATTCAAAACAATGATGGGTAAGTTGACGAATAGAAGAAAAGTTATGATGCACGTAACTGGAAAATCAGTTTTTGTTTATTACAATTGAATCGTTTTTTGAAAAAAATTGTTTTTTGCCCAAATACATTAAAAATAAATTGTTTGGTTCATGTGTGACAAAAATTTATTTTTTGCGATAAATTTTGAAGTTAAAACCCGTTTTCTGTTATTTAAAAAAACCAGCTTATAAAAATTTTTTTGCGCTAAAAATTCGTATTCAGGGGGTCAAAATACGTAATAAAAATGTATTTTGATTTCATGTTCAAACAAGTTTTTTATTTTTTGAGGCTGTGCAATTGTTATTTACGTATGTATCAATGAACAGTTATCCGATATTATGATAAAAAGTTTACCTCCAGAGAGATTAGTAATGTCAATCTATATTTTCTGTATTGCCTACGTTCAATGCTCACGTTTTCCATCGTCTCTCGTCCGTGAGTTGTTCGAGTGTCATAATAAAAACCTTAATTTTAATAAAAACTAAGTCTTGATAAGCATCAAGTGTATTATTATTATCGTATCAATTATATTATGTAATGTTATGTTAATATAAAATGCTTAAATTGAACATTGTTAAACATAATTTAATAAACATATTTTCGGTATTCTAAAAAATGTTCATTTTTAAAACAATTTTGTAATTAATTTTTAGGTAATGCAAAAATCATGCCGTTGTGGATTTATGTATGGAGAACTAACGGATAAAGAAACCATTACCAGGATTGATGAATGCTTAGATGGTCAGATTGCAGACCAATTTGAAGTTTTGCTGTATAAAAAAAATAGTGAGTAAATTAGGAAAACTATTTTGGATTAAAAAATCCTTTTTATTTCTCGCATTATTGATTTGCATTAAGGTCATGTGACTGTTAGGTCTGTAATGTTAATTTTTTGGGCTGAAATTTTGTGGAGGAATTTAAAATATGATAAAGAATGTTTGTGAAGCGCAAAAATGTTGATATATTGTTAAATGAATATTATAAAAAGCATGAAAATTGTTAGAAAATCCGACACTCCTGTCCTTACATTTTCTAACTATTTTCAAGTGTTTTATAATAATTATTTAACAATATAACAACATTGTCGCACTTGACAAACCATTCCTTATCATATTTGGAAGTCCTGCATAAAATTTCAACTAAATTTATTCAATATTTTACGAGAAAAGTTACGGACAAATGAACATTACAGACCTAACAGTCGCATAACACCGGCACACAAAAAAAAAAAATTTCGAGTGCGAAGACCGCCACATGGTAGGTTCTCTTCCTTAAGATGTATCTAAAGAGAAAATCCTAGTCCGACCTCGAGTTTGGTTCTTGTTTCATTTTTACAGGCCTGGTGGGGGGGTGTAGTTTGAGAAATTAACATATATGGGAATTTAATTTCTTTTATCAACTGAAAGTGAATGTTTGCTTATTCTAACTGTGGATTTTGATTCAGTGGCTCTAATTACATGAAAATTTAATAAATACACAAATTTAAAAATGGCGGATCCAATATGGCAGACCTAAAATGGTGGATTTTTTGAAAAATTTGCTTGGATTTCCTTGAAACTTGTTACTAGGGGGTTTTTCGGGTCGCTGATTACGAATTTGATGTCAAATTTTATAAATTCAATATGGCGGATCCAATATGGCAGACCTAAAATGGTGGATTTTTGAAAAATTTGTTTGGATTTCCTTGAAACTTGTTACTAGGGAGTTTTTGGGGTCGCTGATTACGAATTTGATGTTAGTTTTTCAAAATTCAAAATGGCGGATCTAATATGGCGGACCTAAAATGGTGGATTTTTGAAAAATTTGTTTGGATTTTCTTGAAACTTGTTACTAGGGGGTTTTTGGGGTCGCTGATTACGAATTTGATGTTAGTTTTTCAAAATTCAAAATGGCGGATCTAATATGGCTGAAAATTTTTGAAAAATTGTTTGGTTTTTGTAAAAAATTGCTATTTTGGGCTGTTTAGGTTGCTGAATAAGATTCTGACACTTCTAAGCAACATAAGTTAAGATTGAAAAAATTTCGCACCTACTACTTTGCTAATTTAAACTATGAAACGAAAATCGCAAATTCGGCCCATTTCAAAAGAAGTCTTTTTAATAAGTCTTAATGTTTTAAACAAATTCAAATTAAATTCGAAATAAGTCGACCGTAACTCGGCATTTCAAATACGCTATTTTTAATGTATTAAAGTTGACATTAAAATCATATTCAGTAACCTAAACAGACCAAAATAACAATTTTTGACAAAAACCAAACAATTTTTCGAAAATTTTCAGCCATATTGGATCCGCCATTTTGATTTTCAAAAAACTAACATCAAATTCGTAATCAGCGACCCCAAAAACCACCTAGTAACAAGTTTCAAGAAAATCCAAACAAATTTTTCAAAAATCCACCATTTTAGGTCCGCCATATTAGATCCGCCATTTTGAATTTTGAAAAACTAACATCAAATTCGTAATCAGCGACCCCAAAAACCCCCTAGTAACAAGTTTCAAGGAAATCCAAACAAATTTTTCAAAAATCCACCATTTTAGGTCCGCCATATTGGATCCGCCATATTGAATTTATAAAATTTGACATCAAATTCGTAATCAGCGACCCGAAAAACCCCCTAGTAACAAGTTTCAAGGAAATCCAAGCAAATTTTTCAAAAAATCCACCATTTTAAGTCCGCCATATTGGATCCGCCATTTTTAAATTTGTGTATTTATTAAATTTTCATGTAATTAGAGCCACTGAATCAAAATCCACAGTTAGAATAAGCAAACATTCACTTTCAGTTGAAAAAAGAAATTAAATTCCCATATATGTTAATTTCTCAAACTACACCCCCCCCCCCACCAGGCCTGTAAAAATGAAACAAGAACCAAACTCGAGGTCGGACTAGGATTTTCTCTTTAGATACATCTTAAGGAAGAGAACCTACCATGTGGCGGTCTTCGCACTCGAAATTTTTTTTTTTTTGTGTGCCGGTGTAACCTTAACACTTTATAAAAAACTAAATCTGTAATCTTCTTAAAAAATTGTATTTTTTCTTCCTTATGAAAAAGAAGTGCTTGATTATGTACTGCAATAAGTACTGGATTAAGTACTTTTAACTTTTTAATAATTTTACTTTCTGCACACTAAGTTTATATTGCTCTTACGGTTGCGCAGTAGTTTTTTCTTGCAAATTAAAACCATAGAAAAGTGTAAAATAAAGAAAGTACAATTTATTGTATAACGCAGTAAATTAAGAAATATATATTTCGCGAATGTAATACTGAAGTTTCCAATACTCAATCCAGTACTAATACACGAAAACAAAGTACGTGAAATTGTTTTAAAAATACTTGACTTTTGGATAGGGCGAAATTTCGATAGTAAGAAAAAGTCGGGTACAGCGAGAAATGTAAAATATTTATTGAGCTATTTGAGCGACTCCACGTCAAGTGATCGCACCGATTTAGACTATTTTGAAACATTTTTATAATATTGATAATTTGGGTTCATTTAAGGGTCAAGAAAAGAAATCCTAAGTATTTTTAAAAAATTCAAAATATTTTTCCAAAAATATTGCACATTTAAATTTTTTGTATTTTTTTTTATTTATTATAACTTCCGTAATTTTTAACCAATCGGGATGAATTTTTTTTTAAATACTCGTATTAAGATGCCCTTTCATAAAAAAATTTTGAAAAAAAATTCAAACATTTTAATTTTTATTAAAAAAACAATTTTAATTGTTTAAATAATTCGAAAAGTATATCTTCGATATTTTTCAAAAAATTTATGAACATTCTCTACAATGTTCTGAAAAATGTAAGACCTTGAAAAAGAAAAGTATAAAATATAATATAAAATTTAGAGAATGTTATATTTAATATAAGAAAAGTGTAATAGTTTCCGAGAAAAAAATTATTTAGTTTTTGTAGCGCATGAAGTCATTGTAAACTATATACTTATATATGAGGCATTTCATATGAGAATACGGGGTCATATCTCGAATTTTTCTCAAAATTCGGTAAATTGTAGTGATAGAGGTGCTAAATAAGTGTACAAATTTTGAATTTGAAATTTTTAATATTTTTTGAGATATTTACAATAACAAATTTGAGCAATATTTTTTTGCTTTACTTATAACTTTTACCCTACTAAAAATAGAGAGAAATGTTGAGTATGTTTTTTACGCAAAAGATCTTAAACTTTTAGAAACAAATTTGTTAATTAATTAATTTTTAAACAATTTGTTTAAAAAATAAAATTTGTTTAAATCTTTTAAACATGTTCTCCTTCATTTTGAAGCTCGATAAAAATCATAAATATTGTTTAAGTCATAATAAATCGATGGTTAAATTTTAGAGATAGCATTATTTTTTGTTTTCGAGATATTATTTAATTAACTAACAAAAGTTAATAAAAAAAGAAATAATTTAGGATCAAATAAAATTAGAATTATTTTAAAAATACCATTCCAATGCTTATCAAAATCCGCATCCAACGAGCCCTATATGAACTATTTTTGATAAACAGGTGTTAAATTAATAATAAAAATTATTTAAATAATTAATAACATTTGAAGAAATGAAGATAAATCGTCAATTATTTTTTTATTTGGAAGATCATCTAATTCTGCGTCAAAAAAAGAATATTAATTATTACTGTTCCGGGATTACGTGTGTTGATATAGAAATAATTACACCCATAATTTTGTTCAAATAATAATTAATGTTTATTATAATATAATGTACTATGTTTAAATGTACTACATAATTCACACCGGAATCTATAAATATGTGTCTTTAAGGAAAGAAAACGGATGGGTGCACACCAGCAAAAGGCAAGCGACAGACTAACTAAACGATGCGTAGTACACAATTTTCAGGAATGGAAATTGATGTGCCCCTTAATTTATACTATCAAATTTCATCAAAGAAATTTAAAGAAAATATAACTTATGAATATTAAACATTCCGCCCATCTCGTTTTAAAAGCAAACGAAAAGAATTACAGATCAAGTTGCGAATAATAACTTGAGCCGCCCGCCATAGCGGATACGTAAAAGAAATAAAGAGAGATAAATTTAAACTGATTTTAAACTAGTATTTTAATTACTCAGTTCATGCTAGTTATTCGCAAGCTTTATTTAAGTGTTAATGAGGGGACGTGAGGTAGGTTCGGGACTAGGTAACAGACATAATCAGAATAGCTAAGTCTCCAATTTGAATTATCGGTTGCTTTTGCTTCCATTTTGGTAACATCTGCAAGGAACTTAGGTATTCTTCAGACCAACGTTGCCAAAATTCCTGATTCATTTTTTTGCACAAGATTCCACCGATCCAGTCTGTTAGTATTAATTTTCAACAAGGACGGTTCAGAGACATTTTTCAAGGGTCCTCCTACAAGAAAGTGACCGGGAGTTAGCGCTGAAAAATCGTCTGGATTGTCGGAAATATCTTGTAAGGGTCTCGAGTTTAAACAAGCCTCGATCTGTGCAAGTAAGGTCGTAAGCTCTTCAAATGTCAATGTCGCGTTACCAAGGACTCGTTTAAGGTGGTGTTTCACTGATTTAACAGCTGCTTCCCAAATACCTCCATGATGAGGTGCGCCAGGGGGATTAAAGCGCCAAGTGGTTCCGTCATTTGAGAGAACTGTGGCAATTTCATTAGAAAATCGAGAAGCGGTACGAAATAGGTTGCGTAATTCTGCGTCAGCGCCAACAAAGTTTGTGCCACAATCACTAAGCAATGATTTAGGGATACCTCGTCGACCAGCAAATCGACGAAATGCTGCAAGAAATT